ATGCGATATGTTCATCTCATATGAGTCATACGTGATTTGTTCATCTCATATAAGTCATACGTGATATATTTATCTCATTTGAGTCATACGTGATATATTTATCTCATATTAATCATACGTGATATACCTAATATGAGTCATACGTGATATGTTCATCTCATGAGTCATATGTGATATGTTCATCTCATATGAGTCATACATGATATGTTCATCTCACACGAGTCATATGTGATATGTTCATCCCATATGAGTCATATGTGATATGTTCATCTCATATGAGTCATACGTGAAATATTTATCTCATATTAATCATACGTGATATACCTAATATGAGTCATACGTGATATGTTCATCTCATATGTGATATATTCATCTCATATGAGTCATACGTGATATGCATATGATATGAGTCATATGTGATCTGTTCATCTCATATGAGTCATACATAATATGTTCATCTCATATGAGTCATACGTAATTTGTTCATCTCATATAAGTCATATGTGATATGCATATGAGTCATACGTGATATGTTTATCTCATATGAGTCATATGTGATATGTTCATCTTATATGAGTCATACGTGATATGTTCATCTAATAAGAGTCATACGTGATATATTTATCTCATATTAATCATACACGATATATCTCATATGAGTCATACGTGATATGTTTCTCTCATATGAGTCATACGTGATATGTTTCTCTCATATGAGTCATACGTGATATGTTTTTCTCATATGAGTCATACGTGATGCATACTCTGGGCCCTACCCCCGGCGTCAGCTAAGCTGTGCTGAATGGTCCTTTGTCAACACAAGTATTTGTGTAGCAAGTGGTGACCATGACAACGAGCTCGGCCTAACCCCTTTTACGCCCAAGGGACTGGGCCTCTTGGCTTGGGTTGTCCATATGAGTCGTCAGGCTCTTTTCGTTGAAAAGGTGCACCTGACCGCCTGTCGCAGTTGGGTCTCTGCGTTCGCGTGCCTTGTGCGTGGTGGTGGGGTTTGGATGGGATGCACCGACTATTGACATCTGACGCGATGTGGGTGAGGGCTGTGCCTGCCTCGCAATAGTTGCTCGTTACAGTAGTTAATTGTCGTGGTAGCTGTAACGATGGTATCAGCTAGTTGTTGTAGGTGGCTATGGTAGCATCATCTAGTTGTCGTAGGTTACTATAGCGATAGTTTCAGCTAGTTGTCGTAGGTAACTATAAAGATGGTATCAATCGAACCGGCTCGGGGTGCTTGAATTGTAAACCAATTCTGTGCTGAGATTACACCCGTTGAACCTGCCTCAACGTAATGGTTGCGAAGGGAAGCCTATATACCTGGCTCTGCGTGCTTGTTTTGACTTACTTTGCTGGTTGTGGGAGATATTCATCGGCCGCTACTACATTGTTCGGAGGATCATAAGTTGATATTATATTCTTGAAACTTCGTGTAGTTGACTGTAGATGTAGTATGTATAATAAGTTGATACTACTTTCCTATAACTTCGTGTAGCTGACTATTGTTATGTGAATGTAGAACAAGTTGATACTACTTTCTTGTATCTTCGTGTAGTTGACTGTAATTTCATATGTAGCAGTTGTATGTATAATGACTCAATACTGCTTTCTTGTATCTTATATATATATCAATATTCGTATATATATATGTATGCGTGTGTGTATGTATGTATAGTGTATATTTAAATAAAACTTTATAAATATATACTACATATTGTGAATGTATATCTAGATGTGTGTGCGTATGTTTGTGTTTGTATGTGTCCAAAATAAACGTACACGAATACTTGAATATATACATATGTGTGTGTGTATACATACATACATAAATATATATTATTTTATATATATAAGTGTGTGTGTGTCTGTTCGTGCATATGCATATATGTCTATATATATATTGGTATATTTATATATACTTTAATAATTATATTTATATATAAATATACCAATAATTGTATGTATATATATTAATGTTAGACTGTGTATATATATATATAAATCCATTGTGTATTGTGTGTATATATATATGTGTGTATCATTTTATTGCATCGATTCCTGAGATGCAATTGTACAATTCCACACAAATTGTGATCTTCTTTATATATATATATATATATATATATATTGTGATCGGCTCAGGAGGGCCTATCCCGAACTGAGCTAGGGTTTAGCCGCGTGGCTCAAAATTTGAGAACACAGAAAATGTAACACTTTAAAATACAGTGAACATTTTCAGGCCAGGGCCGGTAGTTCACTATTTTAACATTCAATAATTGAAGACATTGACTAACTGGCATTAGGCCATCTTGTGTTCTGTTCAAAGTTAATCGCTTAGTGTAGTTAGTAGAATCACATTGATAGAGAACTACGTGTTACTTCCGGTTTATTACGTAAGAATAGTCGCAATTTAAGGCGGCATCTGAGGCATCGAAATGGTGAAACAGGCAGGAGCAGTGCTTACGGGCGGTGAGTTCAACAACCTTTGGCTGTGGAACGAGTACGTTGATCTCGTCCGCACCAAGGTTACCTATACTGAACTTGGTGAAAGTCAAATGGCTGAAAGAGTGCGCATTTTAAAACAATCTCTCAGTCAGGACTTTTTCATGACGCTCCAGTCGCGGATACTGCCTGCCATGAGGGCAGATCCGGACTGGCTAGTCGCCTTTGTTGTGAGGTTGTATGCAGAAGTTTGGCCGCCATTTAGTAAGGGGGATAAAGCGGCGGTGACAGCGAAGTTCGCTCGATCTTTGATGCAGGACCCCGAACGCATGTTTGAGGTCCTCCAGGAGCTAATAGTGTTTATGTGTGGGCATTCCTTGCTCACTGTTCTCATTCCAGAGGTGGAAGCTCAGGATGAGCACCAAGATGAGCCAGTGGCTTCTACGGCGGAGTATATGGCCGACATGCAGAAGCACTTGGCTGCCTACTAGGAGAGGGCGCCAGTAGTAAATCTGAATGGGCCAGCAGACCCCCAGCCATCGATGGTACGTGCAGGGGGCCTGGCGAAGGCCGTAAGTGAGACCAGTGACAAAGCGCCGAAGCCTCTGCAGAAGAAGCGAGGCGTACAGCAAGGGCGGCAAAGAAAGCCGGAGCTGCGCGTCAGTAGATGCCGGGTTTGCGTGCGAAACATCTCTCGGGGTTAACAGACCGAGGGGTGGGGAGACTTGTCGTAACCGGGGAGGATTCCAAGGCAGTAGCAGGCCTGCGGGGAGCAGAAATCGCAAGAGCAGCATCGCAGCCGCTGGCAAATTTTATCGTGGCAGAGGTGGACCGTTTCTATACGCGGTACACCAACTGCCGCAAATAGCACCACGCCATTTTGGCGATGGCGGAGGGTAAAATAAAGAGGTACCTCCTCTCGCAATGTGCCACTGTCCCGAACTTCTTGGACAAGGTGCTCGAAAAGGTGAAGGTGCAACGGATAGGGTAATTGAGTTGGTGGAAGAAATTTTCCGGCCAACTACGTTTGCGTTTACTGACACGAGAATGCTGGAGAAGAATCGGTTGTCGGAGTTTTTAACTTGACTCCGTCACACCTATGTGCAATGTAATGGCATCATTTTGACGTACCCGGACTCGGGTGCGCAGGATGTCCGTCAGCCGCAGCAGCAGCAACAGCAGCAGAAGGCCGATAGTGGTAAGCCGGTGGAGAAGTTCCATATCGTGAGAGTGTACGGAGCGTAGTGATAGGCGTCTTCCGGAGAAGAACCCATATCAAAGGGACTGCGGATATCAGTCTGATAGGTGGGATGGCCGCCGATTTAAAAATAGCGGGTTTCTATTAGTAGTTGCACAGTTAACGTTTATACGGATAATCTTGGAATACGTTTAACGAAATGGACATGAACAAGAATGGCGCAATTCAAGATTCTGAACATGTAACAGTACTCATTAGAGTATGGGACTCTACTGTGGACAATTAGGTGGCTTTCCAAATATAGATTGGTTTTTCCACTGAAATTAGAAGTATACATAATATAGGAACGACACCAATCTGACACCTGAAATGTAACTTTGGGAATCTCTAATGAATAGGAGTATCATGAGAGAGGGTCTCAGGCATGAAATGGTTGTTGGTACAAGCCTATAGTGTAATTCAATAATGATCTCAGAGCAAGATAATCTACTGAGAAAAGGACAGGATCAGAGTTGTTAGAATTTAGGACAACATGGTTTTGATTCCTCCTAGCCAGCCAACTAGATGTGCCTGTCTATGCCTTAAATGGGATGGGTAGCTAGGTACCAAGTGATGGGGTTTAGGTGCAGATGTATACTGCACCAGCTTGGTGCTTTGCTTTTATTTTTTTATTTTCGTAGGTTGAACTTAGAGGTATTTTATTGGTTAGTTTGATTAGGTGATTGTTTCGGGGCGTGAAATGTAAACTATGCGTCCAATGTAATGATATCTATTCTTAGTAACTAAAACTAAAATAAATCTAGACCGAAGTAGTGAGTAATTTGAGCGGAGCATATAGACAATAGTCTCAGTCTAAAATCCCCTAATCTTTTGCTCATTACCAAGGGCTGAAGCTAAACTTATTTAACATTTCGCATTTTAACGATTTAACGTACTGTCTTATTAACGTAAGCGTCTTAGTATCGTATAGTCAGCCTTTAGGAGACCGACTTTTACATCGATTAGAGATAGACGTGACTCAGCTGGGTGTTACATGGGGATAATTGTAAACTTCGATGGATATTTCTATGTTTTAAACTGTGTTATATAAATGAAGATACAATTTAAATCATTTAGGATTTAGCAGTGGTAGCTTGTATAAGAATGATCGGGACTGCCTCTTGGTAAGAGCCTTAATATCCTCGATCACACAGGACGTACCTCTAGCTGTGTAG